AAACTTATCTTTCTTAGCTTAGCTATTTTTATAGTTCTTAACCTAAGCTTATAAATAAGTAGGCTTAGTACTATAAGCTTATATATAAATTTTAAGTGCTAGGTACTTATAATTAGTATATATTAGCTTTTTTTTATACTTAGCTTAAGCTAGCTAATACTATATATAGTAGTAGAATCTACTACTTATAATACTAAATATTAAGAAATTAAACTAGTAATTATAAAGCTAAGAATTATAATACTAAGTTTAGAAGTCTTACTACTAAAACTAAGAGTTTTACTACTAAAAGTAATAATATTTATACTAATTACGCTACTAATTTTAAGGCTACTAATTTATAAAATATAGAGCCTAAGGCTAGAATACTAATAGCTACTACTACTAGAATAGACTCTAATAATAATATTCTAAGTATTCTAATAATAGATTAAAGGCTATAAATAAATAACTTTAAGTAAAAATTATAGATAAAGATATTTAACTACTACTTATATTTATTCTTTTTCTTCTTTTACTTAATATTATAAACTTACTATAAGTACTATATTAATAAAAGTTATTAAAAATTATAAATTAAGTAGTTTTTAAGCTTTTATTACTTAAAAACTTAGAAGTTCTATCTAATAGTTTAGATAAAGTCTTAGAACTACTTTTAGTTTTTTTCTTTTATCTTTTATAAGTATAAAGATTTTTATAAAGTATTTTATAATATTTATAAGCTTTATTAGTACTTTAGCGCTATTATTAATTTAGTAAAGAATTAAAAAAGAAAAAAGAAAAGATTATAAACTTACTTTAGAGCTATAGTAATCTACTATACTTCTATAGTACTTAAAAAAGTTAAAAAAGAAATAGTAATTAACTTTATATAAACGCTTAAAGTAATTAGTCTTTAAAATATTATTAAGAAGTTTTTTATAAATATAACACTTATACTAAAGATATTAAAAAGTATTATAGTTATATATTACTTTAACCTACTATAGCTTTATTTCTATAGTTTTAGATATATAAAAGTAGTAGTATTTACTTATTATACTTAGCACTTAGTACTTAGTATTTCTTTTCTATTACGTTACTACTAATAATAAGAGTATAACTACGTATACTAATAATATCTCTTTTTTTTTCTTTCTAATACGTCTTACTAGTTAGCTTATCTATCTAATTCTAATTCTAAGATATCTATATTAATACTTAACTCTTAACTTCTACTTATTTATATATTCTTTCTAGCTTTAGCTATATATTATTAAAAGCGTACTATATACTTTAGTTAGTTAGTTTAATTTATATATAAAGATATATAGAAGCTATACTATTAGATTATTTTAAAAAAAGCTAGAAAGTAAAGAAACTATCTAAGCTATATACTAGTAATACTATTATTAGCTATATACTTAAAAAACCTCTTCTTTTAGTCTAGAAACTCTTAGCTCTTAGTGTCTACCTTTATAAGTATATTATATAAGTTACTCTTTTTATTATAAAAGTATGCTAGTTCTACCTAGTCTTAACTATTAAAAAGCCTAGCTTATTTCTTAATAATTAGTAGTATATATAAAAGCTTATTTCTAGTAATATAGCTAATAATTAACTTTTAAAATTTACTTATAGTACTAAAGTAGTAGAGGTTTAGTATTAGCTTATTATATAGGCTAAGATTATTAAATAGCTATACTAGCTAAGTATATAGTATATATATATTATTATAAACAAAGTTCTTAAAGTGTATTATAAAAAGTAGTAGTATATTTAGATATTAATTATAGTAGTTATTTATTAATATTTAGAGTTATTATATTCTTATTTTAAATAGATAAGAAAAAGAAAAGTTATATAGAATTTAGAAGAGATAGAAAGTAGTATAAAAGAGAGTAGTATAGAAGAGCTAAGAAATAGCGTAAGATATATAGATACTTTACTCTATAGATACTTATTTACTTAGTAAAGTATTACGTACTATTACTTTATACTTTAGATATAGCTATTCTATAATATATTATTATAACTCTAAGTTTCTAGCTTACTATACTTTCTTTTCTTTTACCTCTTACTTTTATAGATATAATACTAATTATAATATTACTTATAGCGTTGTCTTAGCTTAATAGTAATTAAGTAATAGTTTATTATATAATTACTTTTACTAAATACTCTAAAAGTTTTAAAGCTTAAAATAATTATATATTAGCTATATAGAGTAGCTACTTAGAACTATTTAGAAATTAATAGAATAGGTATAAAACTCTTTTAAGTCTTTCTTCTTATTATAAGCTTACTAGAGCTTATAGAATTATATAATAAGAATATTATTAACTTATAGCTTTTTTAGGCTAGCTTAAGAGTTTAAATTACTACTATTTCTATATATAAAAAAACTAATCTTTCTTACTATATATTTATTAATTAAAAGTATATAGCAAAGTACTAATTATAGCTAGAAATATATAGAATAAAAATAGAATAGTAGTATACTTATAAGAGTAAAAGCTTAGAACTCTAAAAAAAAAAAAATATATATTACTTTAACTTACTTACGTAAATAACTAGTATATAGTAAATATTAATAATTTTAAAAAACTTTAGACTTAGAAGCTTTACTTTTAAATTTTTTATTAGAGTAACTATAATAATAATTATAACCTTTACTTAGAGAATCTTACTACTTTTAATTTTATATATCTTACTTTTTAATATAATTAGATTACTAAAAGCTAAACTTTTAAGTTTAGAAAGTATTATTATTTCTAAAGATACTACTCTAAAAACTATACTTAATAATCTCTTAGATATTCTTAATATTAAAGTTATTAAACTAAAAGTACTTATAATCTTAGTAGATACTATTAATATATAACTCTAAGTACTTATAATACTTAACTTAATTTTTATAAAGATTAGTATTAGAGTTATTAAATATTATAAAGCTCTAATTTAGTTAACTATTAGAATCTATAAAGCTTTAAGTTAGTTAAGTATTAAAAGCCTAATTATTTTATTAAAAGCTACTAGTAATTAAGTTATTAGCTACTATTATTCTAAAAAAGAAAGATAGAAATTCTATAGCTATCTAAAGTTATTTATATAAAGAAAGTTAAGCGCTTAACTATAAAGCGTTATTATACTAAGTACTATTATACTAAGTACTAGCTTATATATTATAATTACTACTACTAGAGGTATTATAGTTAAAGTATAAGATACTATTATAGTAAAAGCTAAAGCGCTAATACTTATAGCTATTATTAAAATTAAAAGTTAGATTATTAAACTAAATTATAATAGTTAGCTATTAATTTAGATATAAGAGTAAAAACCTACTATAGTATTAAAAAAGATAAAGAAGTAAGTAGAGTAGAGAATTAGGTATAAAGCTTAAGAGTATAAAGCTTAAGAGTATAAAGCTTAAGAGTACTAAAGCTTAAGAGCTAATAATCTTAAGTAGATAAGTTAATTAAATAGATAGCTTATTAGCTTATTAGCTTAGGTATTTTAATAATATAAAAAAAAAAAATTATAGTATAAAAAAGAAAAATTAAAGAACTTATTATTATAAATAAAGTTTCTAATTTTAGCCTAAATATATACTTATATAAATAGCTAGTGTAGGTTATTAAGCTATTAATTATACTAAAAGCTTTATCTAAAAGTAATTATTAGCCTACATTTTACTATTATAATTATTTCTTACTAGTTAAATACTTTAATTCTTATAGTTATTATCTTAATTTTAGACTATTATAAAGTAATTTCTAACTTAATAAAGTTTATTTTTAAACTATTAAGCTACGTTTAAATAAGTAAAAGCTTACTACTATTAGTATTAAGTATAATTAAACGCTTATTTAAGCTATAACTTACTACTATACTTTAAATTCTTAAGTTTAAACTTTACTAAAGTATACTAATTATAGTAAATTTAATAGAATTAGTTTTAGTAAAGTATATTAATACTTTTACTACTTTAAAAAGTATATTAAAGTTAGAGAGTAGTTATAATTATATAATTTTAAGTATATAATTACTTAGCTCTTAAGTATATAGCTAGAGATTTTATTTTAACTTTCTTTAGTAGTATAATAATTATAATATACTTAAATATCTTTAATTATTAATTATCTCTAGCTCTAATAGCTTAGTAGAAGCTAGACTAGGCTTTTAAAGGTTATAGCAAAAACTATCTTTAAATATTATCTCTTTTATCTAAGTAGCTAATATAAAATAATTCTTTTATATTTAACTAGTAATACTAAGTATACTCTTTAGTAATATATAAAGTAGTTATTAAGTAAAACTCTAAATCTTAAGTAGTAATACTTATAGTATAAAGAGTAACTAATACTAAAATAGTAAAAACTATTACTAGTACTTTAAAACTATATAACTAAAGGTTTTACTTACTTTAAAAAGTATAGTATTAAGTAAACTAAAGCTTTAAGCTTTAGTGCTACTACTACTAAAGTAGTTTAAGCTTTTAAATCTTATAGACTTATAAAGTAGCTATTCTAATTTATATACTTAATACTTTATAAAAGAATTATAATCTAATAATATAAATATATTAGCTTAAATTCTATATAAACTAGTAGTAAATAAAAGATATAGTTTTCTAATTCTACTTTATTAATACAAAGAATTTATTATACTATAATAAAAGAAATTAATAAATAAGATAATTTAGTAAAGGTATATTATATATTATACTTTAATTAGATTAAAATTTAGCTTTAATTAAATATAGAAGAATTAGTAGCTTAGATTTTAATAGATTAAAACTATAATTAGAATTTTAACTTAGATATTAAGCTTTAGTAAGAAGATAGAATTTTTTTACTAGCGTCTACTCTCTATATCTTAGCGATAACTGTGTAGAGATAACTAACACAAGCTATGTTTTGCGAAAATCTAAGCATGCTGTTATCCTCTAACTTAAAATTGAATATTTACACTAACCAAACCACACACCGATGCGACACGCTGTACCCGTGCTAGTGTTATGTGTTCAGACCGCTCATCATAGCATTGAAGGCGCTGTCGTCAATGGGACCCACGCTGCGCTTCCAAGCCTTAATCTTGCGCTGCTCTTCTAGAATCGCGGCATCCTCAGGATTATCAGTAGCCAGCATGTTGATGGTCGCGAGCGCAAACGGGACCAAGCTCGACTCTCCCCAGAGCCTCAGAAATTTGGCGTATCGAAACGTGCTCCTCATCTCCTGCGCCTCCGAGGGTTCCCATGAGTGCGCGACGCCCCAGTATCCTTCCTTGATGCTACTCTTCAATTCTCCGTAGACCTTTTTGATGTTGGGTAGAACCTCGCGGTCGCCTTCCTCTAGCCATTTGAGTCCGATGGCTACGATGTTGAGATTTGTGGTGTAGTAGAGCTCGGCAACCTTTGCTACAAATGAAGGGCCGCCTTCCTTGACCAGACGCTTCCATTTGTATGACTTGTGGGCGCCATCGATTTCGTCTCTGACTTTAGCCCAAAGCTTCAGGCAGCCATCGTCGCCTTGTTTGAATAGCTGTGTACCCTCAGCTTTTCTCTCGGTCCACGATGAGATGACAGCGTCCAGATCATGGAATTCGCAGCGTGCGAAGTCTTCTTTGGCTGACTTAGCGAGGGATTCTTCGACAGTACCACCAATGGTGGTCCAAGTCATGTCGTGGAAGCTTCGACGGAAAGGCTCCAACAGCTCTTCCTGGGTTTTGGTAGAAGAGAAGTAAGATGTTGGGCTTTCGAGCTGGTACGGTGGACGCTTGAGCACCGGTGCAAGTTCGAATTTCAAAGTTACGAGACTCTTGTAGTCTTCCAGGCGATCATCACCTGCTTCAATGGCTTTGCAGAGGTTCTCGACGTCTCGAAACAGCACGATAACGTTGCAAGGCTCCAACAGCTCTGAAGGTGGCAAGTACTTCCTCCATTCAGGGCTGTTGTTCCCTATGGTGATATGCATTGCGTAGCCTCGGAAACGTTGGGTGATGCCATTGTCCAAGTCGAAAGCTAGCGTTGGTACGGAATTGGCCTTGAGCATGTAGGCGAAATGTAGACCGCCAGTCGAAGATACGAGCAGGAACCGGTTCCCTTTGATCATAGCATCGTAGCTCTCGGCGTAGATTTGCTTGTTAACGCGTAGGATGCTTGGACTGAAGTCTTTCTTAGACAGCATTGTGCCGTGCGTAACAGACTCGGGACGCGGGAATGTGCATAGCAGGATGCCATATATCTTGTCGCGAATCTCGCGGGGGAGATCGAGGAAGCGGAAAGATGTCATGTCTGGTTATTCTGATGAGCTTTTCGAGACGATGTGTAGAGGTTGTGTTCGGACGTGAGAACGGAGTCGTGCGGGGCTCAAATTCAAGGGCGGTGAGTGGATACCCTGCGGTCTAGTACGTTGTGGGTTAGGCTGAAACAGCATGTTGACGAGTACTTGCGCGGCCTCTTTCGCGCATCAACCATGCTTCTCCGATTGTATTAATGTCCTATCTCCATGCATTAGGCACCTGTTCAAATTCGCTTACAGCAAGGATGTCTCAGCGGCATGAATGATCAAGAACATCGCTTCTTGTTGAGAGGTATTCATAAGCTCCCCTTTGGTTTTTCGTACACTGGTACCGCCACATCAGGGTCGTATGTAGATTGTACTATCTTACTTCCGGGGGGAAAGGTTTTCTTGGTACCATCAGGTAATTCCGCCTCCGCGGTTCTATCGCTCGCGATCATCCATGCGCTCTTCAAGCCCGCCTCTCTCGCGATATCTTCTTTGATTCGATAGACAATCTCCGGCCGTGGAATGAAGTTGTCCAAGTCTCTGCCATTTGTACTCTCTTCTAGCTCGTTCGGTGTAGCTGTGACCCAAGTCGGGTTTACGTAACGATACTTGACATGATCGAAACCCATGCAGAAAATTTTGTCCTGAACAAAATCCTCCGGTATGGGATAAGGTACACCGACCCTTTCTAGATCATTTCGGATATCGGTATTGGCGATATTGTAGTTCACATGCGTGATGACAACGTCGCGAATATCCATGCGAATCTTATAAAGAGTGTCCAAGTTCTCGGCTAATCGCTCATCGACGTCGAGTTGCTCAGCAAAATGGTCAAGATACCAGATACCGCCGTCGGTGGGCGTTTGAGCGTCGATAACAAGTAAGGGATCTGCTTCGGGGAAGGCTCTCCTCAAGTCTGCATGGGAGAGGTTTGACAAGTCGCGTTTGTCTTCGATGAACAGTTGCTCTGCAGGATATGGGGAGCACATGTTGGCGCCAATGCCGAAGAGTTCCTGGACTGCATCGAGCTGGGCGGATGTGAGATCGGCGACGAGGATGCCAAGAAAGCGCTCTTTGTCGCGGTACAAGTTTGGGTCGTAGACCATGCTTACGTAGGCAGCCCTGGAGGTGATCAGGATACCTCCCAAAGTGCGTATCGCATGGCTTCAATACAAGCAAGCTGTCGATCTTTATAGTTTCCCATGGGCTGCTTGTTGACTTGTAAGATGGCAACGCGCATGCTAATTGCACGCCTAATAAACGTCTGACGTCACATATTGCGGGACGCGCTCCAGAACGCCTGCGAAATCCGCCGCGGCGAAACCGGGACCGCGTGCTGGAGCCTACGAGGCTGAACGCCTCAACTGTCTGGCCACGATGATTGGAAGCACAATGCTGATGTGTTGTACCTAATTATTGGTCCCATGCAAAGTCAGCGCATGCACACCTAGGTAAGCAGGCGGAACATCGCAGCTGGACTTTGCCCTCGCGCAACACTTGCTTCGAATGTCGCAACTATCGTTTGATTTGATCAATTATCTCACGGTCGCGTTAGCCCGCTATCTGCCTCCTCACTGTCCGCCCGCTGGCGTCTTTCCAAGGTTGTCTGTCGCAATCGCGATCATCCGACTCGCACGTCCAGCCTTCCACCGTACTACGTGCACTATGTGGCTCATGAGCTTTTTGTTGGCCACTATTATCACTTGTATGCTTCTCTGTCTTTCGCGCTCGACCCTGAAGGGTCTTTTCGTGAGGGCAGCTTGGGTTGTGTACATTGGGGGAGTCACCTGTATGCTGTTGGATATTCAGTTGCTGCCAACAGATACGCTGCCATCTGCTACGTGGTATGAGTATCCATGGTCACCGGAAGATTATGCTAGGTTAGCCAATCCGAAGTCATCCATTCGTCTCCTGCGAATGCGCCACGCCACAGGCACAGCCAGGATAGAGCTCACTTTGGAGGAAGCATCATTCTCGTCGTGGCCGTCGTATACTGCTCTATCATACACGTGGGATGCTGGCCCACACAAGCAATCGATACTCGTTAACGGAAAACGCCATGTTGTCAGCGACCATTTATGGGGTGCTCTTCGCAGCATTCGCGATCGGATGTTGTATGGAGACATACTTGTTTGGGTGGATGCCATTTGCATCAACCAAGATGACCCGGACGAAAAGGCTTCACAAATCGCTATCATGCCTTCGATATACGAACGAGCACAGGCAGTATATCTTTGGCTGGGCGATCATTTCGAACCACGATGGACAGGGCTAGCGAAATCCTGGAAGTGGGATGTGACGAAAACACTTCGTGAAGCCGAGGAAGAATGGCCGGGAACTGCAACATGGATATTTTCCTTGATGAATGCGGAGTATTGGAAACGTTGCTGGATCATCCAAGAGCTCCGCATGGCAAGTGACATATACGTACTGTACCATGTACCTAGCTGGTACAAGTCCAAGAGTGAGGCTATACCTTGGGACATTTGGATCCATCTGGTCAGGCTCTTCGAAGCGCAGAATGAGGCCTGGGTTCCTACGCATATTACTCGAAGAGTCCTGCGCATTGAGGATATTCGCCATCCCCTAGACACGAACCAGAACACCTTCACTTCGCTTTTGGAAAGCTTCAATGATTGTTTCTGCTCAAACTGGGCCGACAAGGTGTATGCTTTGATCGGGATTGCAGAGGACCACATTACCGATGTTATTGCTGCAAACTACTCACAGTCTCGATTGGATATGTACTCAGAACTGATACATCTTCGAGCGCCCTCAGTGCCACTAGAGGCAAGGACTTTGACGCAACAGAAACATGCGGTGGACATGGTCTATTTTGCGGGCCTACTACGAGCCAGTATATCACGAAAAGCGTTCTCGATGGCCAAATTCCATGGATGGCGCCTTCCCAGACAGGATCCTGGGAGGTGGGGATACATACGCAGGACCAGCTGTAGTCCGTGGTGTTCGTGGGGGGACGAAGTTATGGCAAGAATCATTGGCTACGTTCAATCATTGCTCATAAGTCTAAGAGACTCGACTAAGCGCCGTCCTTCAGACTTGGAGTGGTTTTGGCACTGTCCCATGCCAGAAAACAGTCAGGACTGGTCACCAGTGGAGTCGACTACCCGATCCGTGAGCGTTTCGGGCAGAATGACAGGAGTGGTGTATCAAGTAGGCCCGACCTATTTGTCGTTCTCCACGGACCCAGGAACAGCGAAGTCCTGGTTGAGGGAGTTAGGCAGCGACGCTCCGAGAGAAAAGGGAGACGTTGATCGACTTATCATGGGCCTACGATACTTGACGGCGGTGCTGAAAGGCCGGGTCGGCTTCAAAGTCCGTAACTTTGTTCCGTTCGACGATACAACAAGGTTTGGCTATTTACATTCGAGATTATTCTTGGCCAAGGACCCGGAAGGCGTTCAGTTCGTTGGTATCGGGCCCAAGACGACGCGATCGGGCGATATTTTGGTTCAGTTCCTCAAGACGGATGCGGTACTGCTCGTACGTGAGTCTAGTCGTCTGGGATTAGTAGAGACAGTAGGGCGCGCAGGCGTCGTCAAAGGCGAAGGCACGATGAACAGTCCTTCATGGGATAGTGTCTCTGGAAACGACCTGATTCAGAAGAACGATGATCAAGCGTTTGAGACTTTGCTGACACTGCAGCAACTTACGCGCCTCTCCTTTGATTCGACTGTCTTGGACACCGAACGCGTGGCATGCCATCTTCCAGTTCCAGAGGCCGTTCGGTTTTTGGCATCGTGACCGAACATTGGAATCGGACCCTGGCTATAGCATGCGAAGTGGGGAAGCTGCAAGCCACCATGGTGGGAGCCTGGGGTGCATTGGTGCCACAGGTTCGGCCCACGTTGACGCCGAAAGTCGATACAGTCAATGCAAGGTGACAGATTTGACGTGTGCTCTCTTCAGTGGCCAGGAGTGGGATGATGGGCGGCGAGAGTGAAACTAGGTGGTGATGCTCGGTGTGTTGTGCTGGCCGTCTGGGCGTGGATTGGAGCGCTATGAGACCCTGCTTTTGCACTCCCCACATACATGTGCTAGCCCAGCGCGTGAGGAAGTCGCGACTGAGAAGCGACAGCTACGCGATACCATCCTCTGCTGTTTAGATCCATCCCATCAGGCCGGCACTTGCTGCACACCCCGCTGAGAGTGCGATTGGGAGTGCATTGATCAGCATAGGCCCCTGAATCCGGCACCGAATGGCGACACCACCCCCGGCTCGCGACAGAGCTCCCTCGGAAAGCGTGCCAGTCGGGAGTCCGCAGCCCAAAAAACTGCCCGCCCCCTCAACGCCCACATCCTCAGTCCGCCGCAAGATGGCTGCGAATGCGCCTTCCCCAGCATCCAAAGATGGCGTCCCTCCTCGCCGCCCGACTGCAGCCAGCGGCACCGCTGCGAGCGCCCGTCGTCCTGCAGCGGCATCAACAAGCACGGCGCGAATTGCTACGAGCGCGTCCAAAGCCCCCACCACGGCGACATCGCGCACCAGCACAGTCGGATCCAGCCTGAACAAGCCGCCTACGCGTCCGGCAGCAGGGACGACGGCGCGCAGGACCATCTCATCGTCGAGAACCGCATCCGATGCCGAGCCAGATCTGTCGTCGGTTACATCAGGCGACGAGAAGAAGAGGACAGCAGTGCGCCGGACGCCAGTCACGTCGTCAGCTACTTCGAGGCCATCTCCTGCCAAACCGACTTCGAGGCAATCCATCGCGCCTTCCTCGACGACGACGACTGCCGCCAAGCGTCCTGTAACCACACGCCCAACTGCAGAGGCAGCGACGACCCGCACTGCCCCACGCGCTTCTCTTGCTGCGTCGACACGGCCGACTGCTACTCGACCCGCGGCAGGAACACGGACGGCAGGCGCGACAGCGAAGGCGCCGGCTGGGCCTGCGAAGAAGCTGTCCGTCTCTGCCCCTCCACCTCCAGCGCCGGAAACGGAAGATACAGCCGAAGAAGCGTGAGTCAGCATGAACTGCCAGGGTAATGCGAGTGCTAACTGAATCACAGAGAGAGCCCCGTCGTCGTCACCCCTCGCCGTGCTCCCCTCAAGGACAAAGCTGCCTCAGATGCCGAAACCGAAAAGCGCAAGAGCGCTCTCGAGCCCATCAGGGCTTCCATGGCGAAACTCGGCGAGGAGCCGCCGCGTCCGGATACTGCGCCGACGGGACGTGCCGAGATGGATGTGGAGATGAAGAGGCGGAGCGCTCAGATCATGCAGGACTTCTTCAAGGAGACCAACCTGCGCGACAAGCTTCAAGAGCAATGCGACGACCTCACCCGCGAAGTCGATAACCTGCACTCGGAGAAAGACAAGCTGCGCAAACAGTTGGCGGACGCTCAGGCCGCTATTGTTGAGAAGGACAAGGCCATCTCCGGCGGCTCAGATGCCTCGCCCTCACAGCACCGCGCCCACACGATCCTCGTCGAGGACATGGAAAAGAAGTTTGCGAGAGAAACCAAGCAGCTGGAAGAGCAGAGCCAACAGCTGGAAGAGGAGAAGAAGGCTGCTCAAGAGAGGGAGGCAACCGAGGCAGCCAAGGCCAGCGAGCTGCAGCAGGTCTTGGACGATTTGAACGCCGAGCTGGAACAACAGGGCCAGCAATGGGACGAAGAGAAGAAGAAGCTCGTCGAGCAAGCTGCGCAGATCGAAGGGCTCAACAAGGAGATTTCCACGCTTCGGGATGAGCGTGACAGCTTGTCGCAAGAGCTGGACATCGCCAAGAAGACGCTGGAAAACCTCGAAACGAAATTTGCGGAGCTCGAGCAGACCCAATCCGACAGTCTTCGATCGCGCGATGCTAAGATCACCGAGCTGACCAAGACTGTCGACGAGTATGTGACAGAGGTTGCCTCTCGGGAGGAGAGGCATACCAATGCCCTCCAAGAAGCACAACGGTCTCTTGAGTCTAAATCCTCTGAGTCTTCAGCTGTCGTGGAGCAACTTCAGTCCGAGATCCAGACGCTACATCAGAAACACACTGACGAACTGCGCCTCAAGGAAGAGACCATCGCATCTCACATTCAGGCGCAAAAGGAGCTTCAAGACGATATTGCCAAGCTGCAAGTACGGGCTGACCAGGTTTCTGCTGACCTGGACACCGAACGCAACGCCCATGCAGAACAGATGCAGGCTAAGATCGAGGAGCTACAGAAGAGTTCAGAAGCAGAGCTGCAAGCGAGAGAAGACGAGCTTTCTGGCCATCTCAAGTCTATCGATAGTCTCCAGGAACAGATCGTGGCTCTGCAGCAAGGTTCAACTGACGGTGCCAGAGTCGCTGAAGAGCTGCACATGCAAATCCAAGAACTGAAGGAGGCTCATGAGGCAGCGATCAAAGTCAAGACCGATGAGAACGAGGAGCTTGTGCGACAACTGGATGCCATGAACGAGCAGCTCACCACTGACGCCGCCGAGCTTGAACAGCTCAAGGAAGAGGCCGCAAGTCTCCGCAGCACCATCGAGACACTCGAGAAATCCTCGCAACAGCAAGAGTCTCAGCACGCCTCCGACATGGCTAAAGTCCAAGCCGAGCTGAACGACGCGAACAAGAAGGTGGAAGCCCACAAGGCAGAGCTTGACACGCTGCACGATAGACACAAGCAAGATCTTCGGGTTATTGGCGAGGACTATGAACGCGAGATTGAGTCGCTGCGAGCGGATCTTGAAGGAGACGCAACCAAGCGACTCAACACCCTGCAAGCTGACTACGACTCCCTCGTGACCGAGAAGAGCAAAACACTGGAACAGCATGAGCAGATCCTTGCTGAGCGATCCAGTGAGCTTGAAGCTGTCAAGAAACAGGCTGAAGAAGCCCAGGAGAGTACCGCTCGCGCGACCGAAAATCGAGACGATGCGCTCATGAAGCTCAAGAAGTTAGAAGAAGACAAGGCGGCTCTCACAGAGGCACACGGCATCTCGCAGTCTCTAGTCGCCGATCTTCAAGCCCGCGTCGATGCCCTCACTCAGGAAGCTGCCACCGTCAAAGACGTCCAGTCTCAATCAGACCGTCTGAAGGAGGAGAAAGCCGCCATAGAGGAGGCGCATGGGATGACCCAGTCGATCATCGCCGATTTGCAAGCCCGTCATGACTCCCTTCTGGAAGACAAGACCGCTGCTGAAGACGCTCATAGCCGAGCGATTGAAGTGCTGAAGCAGGATTCTGAAAGCCAGTCCAAGCATTTGCTTGCTGAACTACAAGCGAAGTATGATGCCTTGCTGGATGAGAAGAAGGCTGCAGAGCAGGAACACCATCGTCTGCTGGAGACTCAGAAGCAGGACGCCGATGCATATGCTTCTTCGAAGGAACTAATCGAAGAAGTCCAATCCAAATACGACAGTCTGCTACGCGAGAAGACTGCATCCGACGACGAACACGAACATGCGATCAAGGCACTGAAGCAGGAACATGAGACCACATCAAGACAGCTCATCGACGAGCTTCAAGCCAAATACGACGCACTGCTCGAAGAGAAGAACGCAACCGAAGCAACATATACTCAAACGATTGAGGCTTTGAAATCTGAATCGGAAAGCACCACCAAGTCGATCCTGGGCGAACTTCAATCCAAATACGACGTACTGTTAGAAGAGAAGTCTGCGGCTGATGATGAGCACAACCAAGCTATCATGCACCTGAAGGAACAGGTAGAGGGCGCGTCCAAGGAGCTTCTGAGCGAGCTCCAAGACAAGTACGATCAAGCTCAGGACAACGTAAAGAGCACGTCCGAAGCTTTAAGCGCTTTGCAAGAGAAGCACGATGCTGCCATGGAAGAGATTAGCAGTATCGAGGCTAACCACAAGGCTGAGATTGATGCTCTCCAGAGCCAGCGTGACGACCTTTCCAAGCGACTTTCACAACTCGAAAAGAGCCACGCAGACGTGCTCACCGGGCAGCTGGTGACCGAGGAAGCACACGCAAAAGCACTCGAAACTCAACAGGCTGAGATTGAGCAAAAGTATGCTAGTCTACTTGAGATCATGCAAAGCGACGCCGATCGACTGGAACAGGAGAAGTCTACGGCGTTATCGGGCAAACAATCCGCCATCAACGAGCTCGCTGCTCTTAAGAAAGAGCTGCACGCTGAAATTGATGAGCTCAAGTCCGGACTCTCCACGAGGGAGCAAGTGCAATCCACCGGAAACGACGAGATGACCCTGAAATACGAGAACCTTCTCGCCGAGAAGACCGCCGCGGAGAAGGAGCATCAGGATGCCATGGCATTGCTCAGGGACTCTCTCACGCAGGACCATGAGCAGGCCCTATCGAAGTTGCAATCCGACTACAACGCTTTGCAAGACAAGACTGCCAAGACAGATCAAGAGCAGAGTGACGCAATTGAGCTACTGAAAGACGAGTTCCAAGCAGGTCATTCGAATGACATGCAAGCCTTGAAACAACAGCTTGAGGCTATGCAGAAACGGCACTCTGACCTTACCGAGCAGAAGGCGTCTATGGATCAGGCACATGAGGAAGCTATCAGCGAATTGATGGTGGGCATGGAGGCTAGCACATCCGACGCTTTGCAGCAATTGCAGGAGAAGTACGCTGCTCTTGCCGCTGAGCTGGAAGCAGAGCGTTCCCGGCATGCCCGCGACATTGAAGCTGTAAGGCAAGAGACAGCCACACAGGCAGCCTCAGACAGGGAGATACCTCAGCAAGCTCTAATCACCGACATCCCGGAAGCCTCCACATCGAACGGAACTGATTACGAAGAAAAGCTTCGTGAGGTGGAGCGACAACGTGACGAAGCCATGAGAGCTGCCCAGGACGCCGAAGACCGCATCGAAACCATGAAGGGCGAAGTCGTTCGCAAGCATTTGGCACGAGTTGAGCCTTTGGAGAAGGAGAACGCCTTCCTCACCGACAAGATCGACCGCCTTGAAGCCATCATCGCCGCCGGTGATCGCATTGCTCGTGCGGCCGCAACCATAGGCGAGCAGCGTAACATCAACACTCTCGCAGAAGAGGATGAGGAGGATGACGAAGCCATGGCGCCGGGTATTCAGGCTCCCAAAACAAACGGCGCCGGTGACCACAAAGACGTGGTAGGAACTGTAAGTAACCCCTCGCCTGTATGTGTTTATCTTGGCTCGTTTGTCGCACATGAGGTACAGATCGCTAATCCGCCGCTAGCAGTTGGCAGCTATGCAAGAGACCCTGAACCAGCTCGCTGAGCTCAACAACGAGGCCATATCTGAAAGCACGAAGACCGCCCACAAGCTCACCGTCGAGCAAGACTAGAGATCTTTTCTTCTTGGGAGGATTGCATGTTGAGCATGCCTCTTGCGATGTACGAGTGTGAATGATGCATGCATATGCTTCTATTTCTTCTTCCAACATACTGTTGTAATTCTTCCTCTCCCGCTTTTCACAGCATGAGTTTGCCTTTTAGATCATGGCACTATACCCACTCAATGTACTATTGTCAATTACGAAGCTTTTGTTTGCAGGATGCCTTGCGATGTGCACATAAAGTTTTATTCTCACCCAACGTAACAATTCCTGTCGCTACTCACTCATCTCAAGAAACCAGGGACTGGCGCGACCATCTTCAGATATCTTGAACAATAGTCGGCAATATTAGCTTCCAATCACCGAGCTCTATGAGCTGGCTATGCGACTAGACGACGAAAACCGCACCACATGTAGATCAAGCTAAGAGGTTCATCATGATGATTTGATTGAACTATACGAAAGGCGCAGCCAACAGAATGTAATATGTATATACAAGAAAAACTTTTCCTCCTCACATCTCACTTAGAGCGTTCCGTCTTCCCAGGTCCTACGACTGGTAGGAGTCGATGAAAGAAGCTCTTCCAAGCTTCTGAGCATGGACATGCTCCCTAACAACAACAGGGCTAACAGGCTTGTGGCCGTTCATCGCACGCCTGGTGGGGGCGTCGTGGCGGCGGGAAACAGGCTCAGATCGGCCGCGCTTGGAAGCCGAACCCTGAAGGCATTGGGAGTAGTAGTCGTTTTGCTTTACGCACTTCCAGCCGGAGGCACAAGTGGTGGGGCCGGTGAAACCGACGCCGCCGCAGCGTTCGTAGGCTCCGGCTGTGCTGGGCTGAGCGGGCTCAGCGGGCTCAGCGGGGGCGGGTGTGGTGGTGGGAGCAGACTCAGCAGGCGCGGAGGGAGTGGAAGACTCAGCGGGCGAAGATGGGCTGGGAGAGGCAGATGCAATGGGTGCCTCGGACTCAGCAGGTGGTGCTGACTCCTCGGGTGCGGCGGTAGGGGCAGCAGACGCCGCCGCGCTGGTGGGCGCTGCGGACGAAGCAGCGGGGGCTGAGGCAGTAGCGACTGGTACGCCGGAGCTGACCTCTTATGGGGTAGCAGGAGTGGTACCGCTGGCAGGGCTACCACCAAGGGCAAGGATGCGCTCGGCAGCGGCCTCGGCGGCAACCATGACGATGGCTTGAGTGTTACCAGTGGGAAGATCGGGGTGGATGGAGGCATCGACGACGAAAAGGTTGTCGGTACCGTAGACCTTGGTGTCAGTGTCAACAACAACACCAGCATCTCCCTTGATTCCCATCTTGGCAGTGCCGACGTAGTGGCTACCAGTCTTGAAAGACTTGATGAGGTCTGCACCAGTGACGTTGGAGACACCGGCGGGCGCTTGTACAGTCAGAGTGGAGTTGCCACCCTTTGTCATGGCGATCAAACGGTCCATCATCATGGTAATGGCCTCTGTGTCGACATCGGAAGTCATGTGGGGATCGGTGATGAAGGAGGTGGCGCCATCAGCAGTGATGCCGAGGCTACCGACAGACTGGAGACCGTGGGTGATGTAGACCTTCATCTGGATGGTGTTGTCGGAAGGCGAGTTGCAAGTACCCTGGAAGAAGATCTCGCTACCATCAGTGGTGTTGACGGATGACCACCAGTTGAGACGCTGACCAGACTGAGCGAGCTCACCGGAGCCCTTGGCAAACAGATCGATGGTGGTCTGGTTGGGGGTGATGAGCGCGTCCTTGTCGGTTGCAGCAAGCGGGGTGCTGGTGTTGAACTTGACAGTGAAGATGGGGTGGTCCTTGATCTCAGCACCAACCGGGAGGTCGATCCAGTCAGCCTCGTCGGGCAGAGTGACCTTGCTGCTGCCGCTGGCAACTGTCTTGAGCTGGTCGGCGGGACCGATTCCGGAGTTGAAGAGAATGCGGGGGGTAGACATGGATCCGGCTGCGAGGATGACGCTACCTCCCTTGTTGACGTTGTAGATAACGCGCTTGCCATCCGCCGTCTCGACCTCGATACCAGAGACCGCCGATCCCTCACGGACAGCGCGGACGACGTTGGTGTTCATCATCAGCTCGAAGTTGTCGAGCTTCTGGGCGAGGGGAAGGTAGGTCCTGACGACACCGGAACGGAGACCGTTGGCGATGTTCCATGTGGGGTGGCCGTAGACATCGACCTTTGCGTTGGGGTCCTTGACGAAGTCGGTCTCGGTCCAGCCCTGGCCCTGGAAGAACTTGGAGAGGACGTCGTAGGCGCCATCGTCGTAGCGGACACCATCTTCGGATCCGTAGGTTTGACCAGGGTTACGCTCGTACAGACGGTCGGCCGCCTTGGCGACATCGGTCCACTTCCAGCCCGCGGGCCACTTGTCGTCAAAGTCGCGCTCCTGGGGCTTGACGTACATCATGGCGTTGATCGCAGTGCTGCCGCCAAGCAGGCAACCAGCCATATCCGCAGTGTCAGCGCAGTAAGCAGGGCTACCGACATCGCTGAGGTAGTATCCGTATCCAGGAACATCATACATGGAGACGGTGTCGTTCCAAGGCATGACCTCAGTCTTGCCAGTGAACGCGTACGATGGGCCACCACGCTCGATCAAGAGGACAGACGCGCCGCTCTCGGCAAACCTCTCAGCTGCGATGATACCGGCGGCACCACCTCCAGCAACGATGTAGTCGTAGGTAGAGTTTGCGATGGTGGCTGTGGTGTTTCCACCAGCTGGGGCAGTCGAGTTGCCACCAGCTCCTGGGGTAGTAGAGTTACCAGCGCCGGGGGTGCTAGGGGTGCCAGCTACCGCGAGGGCAGCCCACTTCTCGAAATCGGGGCTAGTAGCGTTGCTCATGGGTAGTCCGAAAGCTCCGAAACCAGCGTCGTGGTAGTTGAGAACCGCGCCAGCAGTCGAGGAGTCTGCGAGCGGCTTGTCAGAGTAAGCCCAACCCTGGACGTTGACGCTGGGGTCTTCGTAGATGACAAGGCCAGTCGATGGGTCGTCGCTTATGCAGTTGGAGCACAAGAATGTGTATGAGAAGGCGGTGTCGTTGACGAAAGTACCGTCCGGGATAGGAGACATGGTGAAGTCACCGGTCTTGACAGCTGGGTTGGTGTAGCCAGTTGCCTCCCGAAAGGATGCAAGGACCTTGTCCTCGTGGGGCCAAGCAACGACCAGCAGATTACCGGTCATAGATTGTCCCAGACTGAAACCAGCCCAACCTCCATCGTTGGTGATGGGTGCTTGAAGCTGAATAATGACATCCGTGGTAGGCTTCTCAGGTAGGGCATAACCCAGCGTGTAACCGGAAGAGTGATGGTAACCCTGGAAGGTGATGCCCGTCTTTTCATCTGTGAACTTGCCAGATGTTTGCGCCGATGCGCCAAGAGCCAGAATGGCGGTGGAAAGAAGGAATGAGCGTGCCATTGTGACGCTGTGAGTGATGACTGAAGTGGAGGAAAGAATGGTGTGGCACTGCCGCAAAAAAAGAGTGTGAAGCCGTCAAGGCTGTAAAGAATGACTGGAAAGCAACGTTCGTAGAACGAGCAAGTAAAGCGAAAGAATGGACAAAAGCGAAAGAGCGTGTACCGAATAAGTCGCCGCAAGATGCATCCTTATATGAAGACAATACCCATTGTGGACCATGTTTCCCTCAATCTGCCACTTCCAAGGATGAAATCCTTCTCCGACCTAGCGCCCGTCAAACAAGCTCATGATGCAGCCTCACCACGTTGTCAACCTGGAATCTGGACCTCCGATGCCCAGGAACATGGTTCATAGGTGGCGCTACAGGTGTCAGAACGGTCAACTGGCGTTTGCACCACTGTGCTAAGTAGATTGGGTGGAGCTTGGACGGAAATATGCCGACGCACTGTTCGGTAACACGGTCACGTTTATTCGTCGACGAGGATGTTTCATGTTTCCATGGCATGAACCTGACGTTGAGGTGGATGCTAGAGCCGTTTCGAAACGCCGCCAAGGCAGGAACCGCTATCCTTTGCAAATTGCGCGTGGGTCTCCAAGCAAAACACCATCTGCCATGGATCGCGCTCGCGGTTCGTGGGCTTGACCATTGAGTCGGGCGTGCCTCATCGGCTGTTGCACCCGGTGGCTGCAGGAGTCAGGCTGCTTTGATCACGGTGTGGCCCGAAGCCGAATGCGAAAAGCCATAGATCGTGTCAATTTTCGGCGTCGGTCGTTCTGCAACAATCAAAATACGGCAGAACGGCATTTTCGAAGAATTGCATCGATGCAGCATTGGGATTTTGAGAAGGTGACGCGCAAAGCCGACGGGCTTTCGCGCGTGCATGCCTTAGCATCTTTGCGACGACGCAACCTGCGGTTTTTTGGGGAGTAAGTACGACGTTGTATCCGGAAGACGATAGTACGATGGCTGCTCGATACTCAGCCGTGAGCAACGAGATGTAGTCGTGAGGTTGAATGCGCGCAAGCAGCTACCGTGCTAGCTGTGTGCCGATCGCCTACCATGGAAGCACGGCGCAGCAGTTGAGGACGTGGACCTGTCAAGCTTAGACTAGTGCATCGATGTGTTCGACAGGTCGTTGAAATGTCTCCAAACTAGGTCGGTGGGCGTGTTTGCTGAGTAAGGAACGAGTCGAACGTGCTGATGCTGCGGAGGTGTACAAGTGGGGTAGTCGAACCTCGGCCCAGGGTGTCGCCTTCCGGCAGCTACTTACCATGTACAATATCCAGGCATACCAACAATCGAATAGAATCTGCCATTACAATCTGATTACTTTCGCACGGAGTACATTGCTTTCATCATATCACAATGGCGAAAAATGAGATTCCAGCATATGTCCTTGGTGTCGGGCTCACCAAGTTCATCAAACCTCGACAGACGCGCGCATATCCGGAAATGGGCTACGAGGCGGGTGTGAAAGCAATGCTCGATGCACATATCAACTACGATGAGGTTGAGACTGGTGTTGCGTGTTACTGTTACGGCGACACCACGAGTGGCCAAAGGATCTTCTACCAATTCGGCATGACAGGGTATGAAAGTCGATACCCTTGTCCTGAAGTCTTAAGACACTGACAGTCATTAGTATCCCTATCTACAACACAAACAATGCATGCGCCACTGGCTCGACTGGACTACATCTGGCGCGAACTCTGATCAAGAATGGAGCAGTTGACTGCGCGATGGTCATCGGATTTGAACAGATGCAACCGGGTTCCATCAAATCTGCATGGAGCGATCGACCCTCTCCTATGGGTAAGTTCCGGCTGTACGAAGTGCATGGGAGACATATACTGACTTCGTACCCCTATCTCTGCAGGGCTCTCAATGCGTATGATGGCCGATACGCGCGGTATAAGCAACTCTCCACCCAATGCTCAATACTTCGCCAATGCCGGTCTTGAGTACATGGAGAAGTATGGCGCCGAGGCGCGTGACTTCGCTGAGATTGCAAGAATCAGCCATGAACACAGCCAAAAGAACCCATACGCGCAGTTCAGGGATGTGTACACACTCGAACAGATCGAGAAGGCTCCTATGATTCACTTCCCGTTGACCAAACTCCAATGCAGCCCGACAAGCGATGGTGCTGGTGCGGCGGTCATCGTGAGCCAGAAGTTCTTGGACGCGAGGCCACACCTGAAGAGTCAAGCTATTCTCATCGCGGGCCAGTCGTTAATGACAGACTCGCCGCAGCTCTACTCCAAGTCATCGATGGATCTCGTTGGCTACGACATGACCAAGCGCGCGGCGCAAGCAGCTTTGAAGGAGGCTGGCGTCAACGCAAAAGACATCAAAGTCGCAGAGTTGCATGACTGCTTCTCAGCTAACGAACTCATTTTACTGGAAGGCTTGGGCTTCAGCGAGCCCGGAAAAGCACACATGATGGTGCGCAATGGCGACATCACATACGGCGGCAAGGGTCCGATCGTCAACCCGTCAGGCGGTCTCATCAGCAAAGGACATCCGCTCGGTGCAACAGGACTCGCACAATGTGCGGAATTGACATGGCAGCTCCGTGGCTGGGCCAACAACCGACTTGCTGAAGGGGCCGACGCTGCGCTGCAGCACAACCTTGGCTTGGGTGGAGCTGTTGTCATCAACGTATACAAACGTGCCGATGGCAAAAAGAATGCGAAGATGAGTGATGAGGAAGTCAAGAAAGCGAGTCAATTCTCCTACAACCCGGCTGTGGAGGCGCGCTACGTGACCAAGGAGGATGGAGAAAAGGTCAGGAGCAAGACTGTGGCGAGCGAGTACGCTTTGGGCGATACACTGGAGAAGATTCAAAGTCGGTTGTAGACTTCATATAGTGGCAATTGGATAATGTCATGCGAATTGAGCTCGCGAACCATTTCGTGTTGCTGCTGAAATTTTTCGAATTTTGTCCCCAATTTTTCCTTACTCGAAGGCTTCAGCAGCGTGACAATGCTTCTTCTTGATTCTCGTGCAAAAGACATCACCTCTCCTTCTTGGCACTACGGCTCGATCACCTGTTTAACTGCGTTTCTTTGATTCTATATCTAGTCATTTTAAGGAGGTTTTGTGGGTATTGTACTACTACTATGCTAAACAAAGATACTGTCGCTCTAGAATTATCTTCAAGCGTGTTAACCATCCAGATATGTCGTCCAAGGCGTTGCTAGACCAGAAATTTGTAGGTACTGTGTGTCAACAGTGATATCATCATAGAACTTAGGAGAAGATGGCTATAGTCTAACTTTTCGCTATGACTCTAACACTAATGAACCTGTAGTACATCGCGATCGTCAAACAAGAGCTACACTGGGGCCGCTTGTGCTTGCCTGTTTGTAAGACGGAGTGTTGCTGTCTATAAGACACCGCCGCCTCGCAGAAACAACATCTACATTTTCTTGACCCAACCCCGCGCAGTGGTTGGCCAGTCCTCCACCGGGCAGTCGCTGCGTCTTCTCTCTCACCGTCGGTCCTAAGCGACGTTTATCCCTCTATTACCACCGCCCAGCGACAGATCTACCCCACACGGATCGATGTCACATGGGCGCTAGTGGTTTACGATCATCCGTGCGTCTTTGTTATTGAGTGAGTGTATATAACCAAGCCTCGTCAGTGACAGACCACCTCTCCTTCGCAGCAACGGCCGGTTCGAGGCGACTACCAAGTCTTCTGTCTCATTACATTCACGGCTTATCATCAAAGATTCCGAGTATATACTCCTTCTATCAACTCCTGATCCCTCCGCTCCATGACTCGCCCGGTTGTCAACATGGATCACTCTTACTCTCCAGAATCGCTTGAGCGAATGTCGAGTCCAGAATGGGGCATCGACGACGACTCGCCACCGCCTGCGCCTCGAGTCGTTGAGACGCGCGTGAAGTCAGAGTCCGTTGCTCCCTTACATCCGGTAAGTAGCCCGTCACTGCGCCAGGGGTTGCGACAAAATCATCGCGACGACCTCCAGGCTTCCACACCAGCACCTCGTTTGTATGCGAAGGTTGTCGCGAATGCTCCCGCGATAGCTCTCATGTTTACAGCGCTGACCAACCGAACAGACGATCGTAGACGCTGAGAACGGCTCAACAGCCCAGGAGAGCATATTCGTCTCAGACGACGACGTCAAAGAGGTGACACCCGTCAAGCGCCAGCCCACCAAAGTCCAGACGATCGCCGACTCATCAGAAGACGATGAACCCATCGCCGCCACCCGTCAGCGCCACAACCTACGCTCCTCAGCGCGCAAGCCCACCAAGCCGTCGCCAAAGAAGCCTGCCCCAGAGGTTGCCGAGAAACCCAGTCCCCTACCCACTAGACCGCGACCCATCCTGAAAAACGACCTGGTCGCCAAAAAAGCCGTAATCAAAAGCATCGAAGGCTACTGGGGCAAGAACTGGGTCAAAACCCACATCCCCAAATGCCACCGCCCCCTAGTAAGTACCCACCCACTACCCTCCTACTTCCCTTCCACCAACACCCCGCAGTACAAAAACGGCACAAAACGCAACTACAACCGCGCCCACGAAAACGACCCCATGAAATGGCTTCCCTTGGTCCTCAAATCCATCCTCATGGTCGCCAAGCTCACGAAGAACCGAAAGTGGCTTGCGGCCACCATGAACGAAGTGGTCCGCTACCGCGTCAAGAACACCGGGAACCGGAAGCCACAGCTCTGCAGCACGGACTTTGATGTCATGGAGGATATGTTGGTTAAAGACTGGGAGGTGGAGTATGCGTTTGGGGTCTGGTATAAGCATCTGCTTGTTAAGGCCAAGGAGATTCAGACTGAGGAGGATGTGGATAGGATTATGAAGGTTAGTGAGGAGGAGGATGATGGGGAGGAAGGGAGTGATGGCGGTCAGGACAGTTCCGGGGGGTCTGATCCGGAGTCGGATGACGATGGGAAGCAGAAGTTCGGCGGGGGTCCTTCAGATGGTCACCGGGCGATGGGTGGTTACCACCAGTCCCCTTCGTCGACACCGCGTGGTAAAAAGCACAAGACGCCCAAGAAGGAGACGGTCAAGGAGGAGTCGCCGGCGCCTCATCATCCACCGCCTGGTATGTACGGTGGTCACTACGGTCAGCCGCCCATGGATCCGTGGGGTCGTCCGATTATGCCTCCGCAGGGTGGTGGGTTCGGTGGTTATGGTGGTTACCCAGGCTTCTACGGCTATCCACCTTACGGCCAGCCCCCATTTCCCAACCAAGGCCGCCAACCATCTCATCCATCTCCCTTCCCGCCTTATCCTCGCCAACCACCACCAGTGGCCCATCCGCCCGGTACCCCAAATCCTGCGCGCGCAGGTCGCGACACCCCCGCTGTCAAGCGAGAGTCACCCGGCCTTGATGGCGAGCAAGTCGACAACTTCGGCAATCCAGGGGTTTTCGATCACGAAGGAGCCATGGTCAAAGACGAGGAGAGCGTCAAAGCCGCGGTGGCCGTCGCTGAGGCGGAGCTCAAACTTGCACACCTTCGTGCCATGCAGGCGAGCCTGGCGAGCATGTCGAAGAAGTAGAGTTCGGCGAAGGTACTTTTGGTAAAGGTTTTGACTTCCCATGGGTGAAGACTTGGGGCTGCATGGTCAGTAAGAACCAGTTGAATTTCCTGTTCTGATTGATGACGAGGCTGTGAAGCCCTCGAAACATCACAAATGATGTTTGATGAATTGCGAGATAGTTTGCGGTAATAGGCACGAAGCCTTAATAATAATGGAATATCATGGATCTACCTCATATCAACGTCTCTTCTAGTAGACCTCAAGTACGTAACGGCCATCATCCTTCAACTTGTCAATCTCCTTACGTCCATCAATCTTCTTGGCGCCAACATTCTTAACCTTGTGCTCGACTTCGACAGCTTCCTGGAGCACCTCCGTTACATCAGGTACAGGCCATGTCGGTCCACAGAGGTAGAAGCTACCCTCCTTCTCGAGGTACGCTCTGCGAATGTCCTTCAGGGACTCCCTCATACGGTCCTGAATGTAGATCTTCTGAGGCTGGTCACGGGAGAAGGCGCGGCCGAGGAGGGTGATGATACCGGCGTCTTGGTATGCCTCCCATTCCTCGCCGTAGAGATACTCTTCACGCTGGTGACGAGCGCCCATGTAAAGTAGCACTTCACCAATCTCGTGACCCTGCTGCTTCTGGTAGGCGCGCTCCTGGACAAAGGCACGGAAAGGCGCGAGACCCGTTCCAAGACCGGCCATGATGATGGGTGCAGTGGTCTTGGTAGGAAGCTTCATGACAGATGGCTTGACGGACACGGTGACAGGCGCGCCGACCTTGAGGCTGTTGAGGTAGCGAGTCGCCTGACCGAAGCGGTCGCGGCCCTTGGGGTCGACCCAGTTGACAGTGACGATGAGCAGAGAGACGGAGTTGGGTGTCACATGCTGTGCAGAGGCGATGGAGTATTCGCGACGCTTCATGGGGTTGACGATGCGAACGATGTCGTGGAAGCTTGGGTGCGCAGAAGGGAACTCGAGCAAGATATCGGCGTAGGTGACAGTGTCAACCTCAGCACGGCGCTTGAACTCAGTGGCACCCTCAGCACTCAGAAGCTGAAGAAGTTCGCGCTTCTCACGCTCGTCATCAGCGAACTCAGCAAGCGACTCGTAGAAGCGCTTTGGTGGGCGACCGAAGATGTCGATGTTCTGCATGAGAGACTGGTAAACGGTACGGTTGACCAGAACGTTGGGGTCGTCACGAGACGGGACCTCAACGATCTCATTGGGGTTGAGACCATACCACTTGATGAACTCTTCAACTTGTGCCTCGTCGTTCTCTGCGTGGATGCCGAGAGCCTCGCCAATGGCGTAAGTAACACCAGAGTTACCGAGATCGAACTCAATGTGGAAGATGTTACGGTCGTAGTTCTGCGGTGTGAGGCGGCGACGCTCCTTGACGTGGACAATACTGGTCTTGAAGCCGAGATCGGGACGAACCTGGTTCGCAGTGCCGAAAGCCTCCTTGAAGGCAAAGCCCTTGGCTGCGACTTGCCAGTCCTTGAGCAGCGTCGGTGGCTCAGACTCAATGCGGTCGAAGGGAGCAAAGCTGTTGACGTTGATGTCTGAGGGGAGGCGAATGGGCTCAACATCTTCCTCAACAGTGCCCCAAGCAGCAGGGACTTCGACTTCACGAAGAGCGCTTTCGAGCTGCTGAGTGAGCTTGTCGAAGACTTCTGAGCTACCGTTGATAGCAGCAAGCTTGCTCAAGCCAGAGGAGAACAAGTCCTCACGAGCAACCTTCAAGAAAGCGAGCTGGGTGAGGTAAGACTCTAGAGATTCATCTTCAGCGACAGCCTCAGATGAAGCAGGGTCAAGGACGAAGAGCTGAATGTCCTTGTCCACGAGGGCCTTGCGGAAAGCAGGCGAAAGCTTCTTCTCAATGTCCTCGTTCTTCACACCGGGCAGCTTGACGATGATTGAGCTGTCAGGCTTGACGCTGTTCAGGACGTCAAACTCCTTCAGGATAGCAATGTCGCCAACGAAAGCGACATCGGCTTGCTCAACAGCGTAAGGCGCTTCGATGGTGTAGTCAGCATTGCGAATGTCGGTACGAGTAACACCGCCTTGCACGAGGTTGTCGTGGCCGCTGCGAACGAAGACGTTCTTTGAAGAGTCACTTGAGAGGAGTTTGCCAACAACAACTGGGGCGTTGGCGGCGGTTGATTCGTCGAGGTTCCAGAAGCTGTACTGCTTGACGTCGGCAGTGTTCAAGATGTCGACGTATGAGCGGACCTCGGCACCCTCCTTCTCGGCGTGGATCTGGCGGAAAGCATCGAGGAAGTTGCTGGGTGTCCAGACCTGCTCGCGCGAGTACTTGACATCGGTGACCTCAACGTCCCTGTCGTAGGCGAATTGGATTGACGCCAAGACGTCCGAGTAGAGCCTGGAGTACTCTGCGGGGTCGAGCACGGCAGCCTCGTCCTTGACCTGACCAAGAACAGCAATGCGACGAGTGCTCTTGGGGAGTACCTCAAGGAAAGCCTCCTCAACGAACGGACGGTAGACACGGACGTTGACGACACCGACCTTGTCGCCATCCTTGGACAAGGCATTGGCGACCTGAGCGGTCAAGGAAGCCTCCACGGTACCAAAGACAACAAGTACGCTCTCCGGCTCCTCGTGACCGTAGTAGTCGAAGAGCTTGTAGTCCTCGCCAAGCTCATCGTTGAAGGCTTGGAGCAGGCGCAGGACGCGACCAGCGGTGTCGGAGTGCTTCTTGTCAACCTCCGAGACGGCCTTGAGCACCGCCTCGTAGCTGTTGTGCAGCCTGGTCTGGTCGAGAGTGTCGACTAGTCTCGCTGTTTCCCTTCCAACGCTAATGCCATCGTATGTGTGGATCGTGGGGAGGACGCTCGATAGGAGGGTAGCGAAGAGGGACATGTGCTGAGCCTCGAAGACAGACGGGCTGCAGACGAGACCAAGGCCCAGGTCTTCGGCGAGTGTGAGGGAGGAGACATAGTCGGTGACGAGGCCAGCGCTGGAGTTGGCGGAGTAGTCGACCGCGGCGATGTGGGCGGTCAAAGGGTTCGCGACCGAGTAGAGGGCGGACAGCTGGTCGAGCGAAGCGCGGAGGTAGTTCAGGGTAGAAGAGGAGGCGACGATGGACTGGGGGATATGGCGCTTCTTCAAGTCATAGTCCTTGGAGAACATGTAACCCAATGCGATGGCACCAGCACCGGTCCTTGTCTCCAGGGAAGAGACACCAGTCTGGTATCCGAAAGCATTCTTCTCGCCCTGTTCTTGCCAGTACTTGACTGCGACATCCAAGTCGAACGACTCAGCCGAGTATGCGAAGATCTTATCCGAGAGGGCGTATGCGACCTGTTGGACAAGAGTTTGGGCCGTGAGGTAGGTGGGGCCACCGATAGATTGGTAGGAGAGGTCCTGACCAAACGGCAGACTGGACGACTTCTTGGAGAAGTCCTTGGGTGCGTTCTGCTCAGCCCCAGGGCCGGCGGACTCAGTCTGTTGGAAATGCATCTTGAATACAAGTATGCGCCTCAGCAACTCAGCCTTTCAAAGAAGGCAGTGAGAGTCTCTCTTTGGGGTATATGAGAGAAGGGGAGGTGTCATGACGCTCCGGAGGCTTCACCGTGGGAGTATATCCGTGTCGTGGATTTGCCGCCTCGTAGCAGCCAAAAAGTGCCGTCGTCCAGTAGCGACATCGGCAGAAGACCGACCGAGCAAGACGCAATCCTTCACAGACACCATGATTGGCCCTGTCCAGGTGCTCTAGCACGTCTTTCGGGCGATAGATTGCAAATGCGCGGAATGTCGCCTTGACGCGACGAGAATTTGGCCCTAGCGCGAATTGCGTGCTCGACACGCCAAGAGTCCGCGCACGTGACGGCGGGGAAATCGCGGCTCTCGGAGATCTGATCAGCAACACCGTCTAATCTCGTCTTCCGCTGTCCTTCGCGCAATGCATTGTCGCGCAACACCTGGCAAATCCCCGTCGCGACACTGGACTGCTACAAGGCTGCTCCTCATTGCATGCTCTGCGCGTCTGGGTGGTACTACACAAGGCTGAGCATGAACGACTAGATGCACGAACTGGGCGTGCATGCGGATCCAATGACAGGCTGTATGCGCGCAGCGGTGCAAGCCATCGCAGGATTGATCTGACCGGATGTGGGCTGTGCATACCTCTTGTACACAGTTGATGTCGTACAAATAACATTAGACAGCTATAGGCCGCAGCACTGCGCCTCCCTCATGGCCTCTTCATGTCCCCCCACCTTGCTTCTGTCGAGTTCATCATAATGAGTCGGAAGCTTAAATTGATCTACCCGAAATTACAAACTCACAATGGAAGCCATAGGCCTTGTCGCCAGCATAATCACCCTCGTCAGCGCAGCCAGCCATGCCGCCTCGATCCTGGAGCGAGTATTAGGCTTGCGCGGCATCTCTCTCTACGTACTTGGAGCTATCAACGAAGTCACCGACTTTAAGGCTACTCTCGTTTTGTTACAGACGACATTAGAGGAAACCCAGCACCAACTTCCGCTAGACCATCGGGTCGAATACGACAGACTGTTGGATCGATCGATGGGCTGTATAAACGCCTTCACAAAGCACCTACGGAAGAATGTGCTACGTGAGCGAGAAAAAGCGGCCTGTGCTGATAAGGCCATGGAGTTGAAGAGACGTGCGAAGTGGATGGAAGTGTTGGGAGGAAGCCAGGCGCAATCTCGGATTAACACATTCCAGCAGGAGCTGGCTTCGTTGAAAATGAGCTTCGTATTAGCGATGAGTGCGACAAACTTGTAAGTTGAAGTCTGCCGTTGCCAGTCGCAGGCCGGTTTCGCCAGAGAACTCTGGATCAGCTACTGTCACTGGGCCAAGTAGCTGACTTTGCGCATATAGAAAAGCCACTACTAGGCTTTATACCGTTATCCAAGATGTAACCATCGTCCACCCGGGAGAGCTATCTACAAAATCTATGACACATGACAACACGCTCGATCTGCGTCATGCCATGGAGAAAGCGGCTTGCGTGAGCACAGCCCCATCAAGTACGAATAACACCATGACCGCCCAGCGAATTGATGTCACTTCCTATGTCACAATCGAAACCATAGAGACTGCGACGAATCGGACTTGCAGGTCAGCATGTCCTTGCGACTGCCATGTACCATGTCAGGGTACCACGCCGAGATGGTTGCGGGGATTGATCGGTGCCGCCTTCTACAAATTCACCTCGGTACCTTTACTCAACCGCCGAACATGCAACTACGGCCATTGTCATCAGAAGTCGAACGAGACAGGGTCACTGCATTTTCGTTACTTCTTCCCGACATGGCTTTTACCCCTGGGGATTGAAGTTTCAGCATCTTGGCGTTCGTTGGGTGGTGTTGGAGGGACCTGGAGTCTCAATATACCGCGAATGATCACCGACAGCGATGTGGAGAGAGATTTGACAGATGCCCTGCTTCTTCGTACGGTTCTCGATGTTCAGCAGGTAATGAACAAGTATATGATTCGAGGCATCGACATGCTCTTGAGCGAGGGCGTGCACAAGCCTACTTCTCTTCTCACCGTAAGCTTCTGATCCGCGTCTGTCGGACTATAAGCTAATTTTAAAAGCTTGCTATCGAAAACTGGTCGACAGGGCCTAAACTGGCGATGCTACTGGACCAAGGAGCGGATATCAACTTTCCGTCACCTGTTGATGGCATGTGAGTCGACTGTGGGAGACGTCTGCATACATTAGCTGATGGGATCAGCACGCCGGCTCAGTACATTGTTTTCAATGTCTTGAAGGGCTCGCTATGCGAGAAGCTTCGTACTCGACCCGATGTCCTAGATGCCAGTGATGTGCTCGACCTTCCTCCCGCCGCAGCGTTCATCTTAGAAGACTCTATGGACAGCCTTAAAGATCTTCTTCGAAGTCAGCCAAACGCTGTCTTAACGCGTGATTCGATGGGCCATACCCCTCTGCACTGGGCTGTCATCCTAGGAAACGCTGAGGCGATCGATTTGTTAGTCGAAGCCGGCGCGGATCTACATGCCGTGTCAAAGGATGGCTTAAGCCCGTTGTGTAACGCCGTCAAGCTCAAGCATAATTCGCATGCCATCTGTCTCAAGATATTAGAAGCTGGTGCAGAGGCCAATCAAGTCATTCGGCAAAAGGAGACTGCTCTCACAGTAGCAGCATGGTATTCCGATACCTTCACGATAGGCATCTTACTAGACGCTGGAGCTAACGTTAATGGAGTTCAAGGCGGGAACCCTCCCCTAACACTAGTATCTTCCACAACTACATCTGAAGAAATCGAGCAACTACTCTTTGCCGGTGCTGACATCGACGCACGAGATCTGCATGGCGAAACTGCAGTCATGAAAGCTATAGAGTGTAACAATCATTGTGTGCTCCAGACACTCATATACCACGGCGCTCAACTCGTCCTGGGCACCGATCTTTACGACTCGGTCATTGATCTCGCCGCCAGTTGGGGCGATTTAGAGACAATGCGAATACTTAAAGAAGCATGTATAGAAGGCCTCCCAATGGACGAAGTCTCACTGACCGAATACTGGTGGTGGTTCAACGCGCGCTACGACGCCCTCTCCCCATATCGTAGTCGGGATCCTCCAGACGTTGAGAAGTCTGCTTTCCAGGCCCTTCTCGATAGCATCACTCCTGCCGAGCCTGTTGTTGAGCAACATGAAGATACTCTCCTTCTTATTCCAGGAGCCTTTCCGATAGATGATCTCGAGGAATCTGATTGCGACAGTAGGAATGCGAATGGGCAAGGAGAGGAGGGTAACGACGGCTTGGAAGTCAAGACATATAGAGAGTGCAACGACGAGACTGCTGTCACTACTGATGGACAAGATGCAGGCGATCAAGGGATTATTGAAGATGCAAGCGACGACGAAGATGATAGTACAATCGGACAGGTGGTGATCACTTAAGCCTCGACCGAGGATGCTAGATGCACTGCACATGTTCAATGTCACCTTCAAGATGATTTGCCGACTATAGCCAGTCAATGATATATCGTTAGCGCCCTTATACCGTGTCCAGGTTGCAGTGTTTCTTTCCCTCATTGAAAGCATTTTGCTTAACCTGTTCCAGCATTCGCACACTCTGGCTCCACACTTCTTCCCGCTGTCACTACCTTTGCAATCACACCGCCTATCTCGTCTTTGTGTCCGATTGCTGACCTTCCATCACTAAAGGCTTGCGACATCGAGATAAGCATCTCCAAGCATCAGCGCTCCACATCGACGCGAACTACCGTAGTTGGCAATACCCATAGGCGATCCTTGATCTCCCCAGTGATCACGATTGTCACAATGCCTTACTAAGTCGCATGTAGCTTTTGTCACATATTCCGACGAATGAGAATGACTTCCCAGTGTTGCGATGATGTCAAAGTGTTCACACGGAAGCGAGGTGCCGACGTGAATAACTCGCGATGTTCGTGATCAGCATGCGGGACGCTTTACCGTATCGCGCTTATCGTCATAACATCGTAACATCCACAACATCACGATCCTATCTCCAGTCCCCACTGACCGTGCGATTGCATCACAGCAATTGGGTCGCCGACTGTTCAAAGAGGAATTATGTATTTGATGACTTGTCGCACGTTTTCCACACCCTGATTCTTTCCTGGTAAACACGATATACCCCAACACCCATCTCCCCCTCCCAAACCCCACACAACAAACACTCCCCACAATGGCACTCCACGCCGCCTCCTCCCCCAAAAAAGTCGACCAAACCCTCCAACAAACCCCCGGCATCCAAATCTTCCTCCAACCCATCGCCCCGCCCGCCGCCCTCGGTCTCGCCGGCTTCGCAGGCTCAACATGGATAACCTCATCCTACATCGCCAACTGGTGGGGCAACGCCGAATCCCCAACCATCTTCTTCCCTTTCGTAGGACTCTTCGGCGGACTGGCGCAGTTCATCGCAGGACTATACGGGTTCAAAGCGCAGGATACGCTGGTGACGGTGATAAATACCATGTGGGGAAGTTTTTGGATTAGTATTGGGGTTTTGTATGCTTTTGTTGTAAGTGGTGCTGGTTTATGGGGGGGTTTGGAATAGGGTAGGGGATGATGGGCTAACGAGGGATGTACAGGCGGCTGGTGCGTTGGAAGCGCATGAAGTGCACACGCACTTCCCCGAACTCGCGTCCTGGTTCGTGATACTTTGCGTCTTCACGTGGTCGGGCGCGCTCGCAGCGACGGCACGCGACATCGTGCTCAGCGTCTGTCTCTTCTCCCTGGCTATAGGCAGTACCATCGCTTGCTGCATGTTCGCGTACAACGGTCGTCCCGTCACCACCGCGGATACCAGCGCATCGGGTGATAGTCTCACTGGTGGGGTGACGATGGGCATGAAGGCTGCGAGCTACTTTTGGATGCTGTCCGCCCTCTGCGCTTGGTGGAGAGTGACGGTGTATCTCGTCGAGGAGGCATATGGGCCTGATCACACGATCACAAAGTTCTTCCCTATTGGTAGGACGCCGATGGAGAGAAGGGCGCCTTTGGTCATTCCGGGTCTGGGCGAGCCTGGTGTTAAGAGGGGTGTGCCGAAGCCGTTGCCGGTATGATGGAATGTGCATCAAGCTGAGGCTGGTCTTTGTGGCGGTCGGTCGACGTCTCCAAGACCAGTGGCCTATAGCCAGATGTATGACATTGTTAGACAAGAAGCCAAATACAAGTTTTGAGGGTTTGTATCTGCTATACCTCGCTTCCAATGTTGGCTTCGAAGATGTCTCTGTCATCACGTGCAATATGGGTGGACGTTTCGCTGTAGCCCATGGCCTATCGCTGCTGAGCGGGATGATTTGGGGATCGAGTCGTTCTGTCATGTCGGGCAACGCATGCCCGGACTGTTCGCCATCATATTCCGATGGAATGTCACCTGAGATCCATGTGAACAGTAAACAAAGTCAGATTCGACTCCTGGGTATCCAAAAATGCAGCGCATACACGACGGCCGTTTCCAATGCTTCCTTCTCTCTTCTAGTAACTACGCCTTAACAGTTCGCATTACCCTGCAATATTCGCAAAATCTTCTCCTTCAAAACAACAGTCTGCAGAATGCCGCACATCGCTGAGAGTCTTGTCAACCATACGAGCGAAACGAACTCGGTGCGACCCATTCGCCAGTAAAGCCGGCTGACGGGTACTTGTTCGCGTGCGAGCTGTACCGAGCACTGGCCAAACCCATGTAGCCAGTAGGCAGCAGAATCATTGGCTATAATGTAGCACATGGCCGTGGAGAGGTCGCTATTACAGTCCGCTTCCTTCCTGGGAGCACAATGAGCTCATACTAGCACGGTCAGCGAACTGAACCAAGCCAGCGATGTCTTTTGCAGTACTTCGTCACCACCAGTCTCATCAGAGTCGGTATCTGTAGAGTGAGGCAGGGGTAACGTATCCCCGTCCCGAGCCGCATCATCGTACTACTGAAGGTCTGCATCTGCGGGCATGACAAATCCAGTGTCGCCAAAGTCTTGCAAGACGTACTCAGCCAGGGCGTCTAATCTTTTCCGCTGGACGTGAAGTGCGCCGCTCCTGAGGTCCCTATCGCGCTGGCTCATGTTGCTAAGTAATGAGGGTGCTTTCCCTTTGATGGTCAAATGCTGTTCGTTGCTTGAACCAGGACGTGAAACTGGGTCGTCTGCCTCTGGGTAGCGTGGGTCTCCCTGTCCCTCGGCCGAAATCTTGAAGCCCTGCTTCTTGCCGGGAGCGATTCTACCGATGAGAACGAGCAGTAGCTCTGGTTGCAATAGGCGTACGATAATATTACAATCCGGAGTCTCGATGGTGAGTGTCCTAAGTGCGGGTTGCAGCGACTGGTCCTGGGTAGCTCCATTGCGGGTCGATGGCTTCTGACGTCCTTGGCAGTTGTCCTTCCAGGTCATAGATATCAGGGCAGCCTGATCGCGAAGCTCCTTGGTCTGGACAGGCTTTGAGTACGCTAATAGTGTGCCATTTGGAGACATCAAGCTACTGACGTTAGTTGGAATAACAGTGTATGGTACTTGGAACCTACAAGAGTCTTGGGTAGATGTGCTCGTTTGCATTCTGTGTGAGCCAGTCGCTCACTTTAGCGATGTTGATCATTGCGGGATCTGCAGACATGATTAGACGGGGAAGCTGTAGGTGTTAAGAACTAAAAATGAAGAATAGACTGTGCGTGGGAAGCTTTTAGCAACGTGTGAGCATGTAGCGAGTACCACGCGCTGCAACTAATGGATGTGATTTGGTGATGGTGACGTGAAAGAAAGCCCACGTACCTGGTCAATCGTTGGCGCAACCACTTCCGCGCTGTCGTGCTGCTAATTCACCGATCTGCGCCTTCTCTGAGACCAAAAGCGGATACAACGGCCAGCGACGCGTCGCAACAGTAAGGAACGCGTAAGAACACGAGAAGGAACGGATGGGATCACGAGACAGAAGTTGCGCGTGTCAGTATCTTGATCATGACGATGTTCACGACGAAGTTCCCCAGGAGAGAGCTATGACCACCTGGGCTGGCCGGAGCCTTGTTTTCCGCCGCACGTGCTCTCGTGCCCATGCTATGGAGAGCTTATGTTGTTGCAGCCTAGTACCACGCATTGCTTGGAGATGCTACCCAGGTTTCGTGCATCTACACATCATGACAGGACTCAGACGCAAGGTATATCTTTGGGCCGGGTCACGGGTGAAGTGTAATTCGAAGGAATTGGTCCGCGCACACGCGACACAACGATGACCTCGGATGCCACGCGCCTTACAACGATATCGATCTGGTACATCTCCAGATCTGAGTAGACAAGCCTCGTATTTGATGTCGACGTCACAGGACGATTCGTCGTTCGCGCGCATTCGAGATGGTTATAACCCACCGGGCTGATCTCCGAGCAAATGCCGGGTGAGGGGCAATTGGCAGCTCTTCATTGGGTCGCAGACGTCATGAGCCTTAGAATCTGTTTCCCCTCAATTGCGCTGCGACACTGCTAGAGAGCTCAATCAATGCTTTTCACGCGTCTCGCAATACCAAGAACATCACGAGTAGTCGCATTATCTGCATTTCGTCCTCTTAAACCAAACAATACACCAAGCCTCCTCGTTCGAACGCTAGCAACCATGGCGACCGATCCATCGAAGTACAAGCTCAACCACTCCATGTGAGTACCCGCATGGCATTTACTGCGCCATCCCCATACCATTGGCTAGTTACTCACATTTACTAGGATCCGGATCAAGGATCCGAAGCGCTCTGTCCAATTCTACGAGTTCCTTGGAATGAAGCAGATCAATCAGATCAAGAACCCCGACGCCAAGTTCGACCTTTACTTCCTCGCGTACGATAGCCCGAAGGCCGTTTCGCACGGCAACCACTGGACCGACCGCGAGGGTATTGTCGAGCTGACACACAACTACGGCACCGAGGACGACCCAAATTACAAGATCAGCAATGGAAACACGGAACCTCACAAGGGCTTCGGCCACCTTTGCATCTCGGTGGACAACCTACAGGCAGCTTGCCAGAGGCTAGAAGATGCGGGTTATAAGTTCCAGAAAAAGCTCACAGACGGTCGCATGCGCCACATTGCGTTTGTGCTCGACCCTGATGGCTACTGGGTGGAGGTCATTGGCCAGAAGCCAATAGAAGAGACGGAGAACGTCAAGGAAACCGACACAGGCTCATACCGCATGGTAAGTAGCGTTGGGAAGACATCACGTTGGTGTACTGATGATTGCAGAACCACACCATGATCCGTGTCAAGGATAAGGAGGCCTCACTCAACTTCTACCAAGACGTCATGGGCATGAAACTCAAGCGCACCTCAGAGAACGAAAGTGCTAAGTTTAACCTCTACTTCCTGGGATACGGCCCCGATGCATCCGAAAACACCGCAAACGGCGTCAACCCGGTGGCAAACACCGAAGGCCTGCTTGAGCTGACCTACAACTACGGAACCGAGAACGACGCAAACTTCAAGTACCACAACGGCAACGATGAGCCCCAAGGATTCGGTCACATCTGCATTGCTGTCGACGATCTCGACGCCGCCTGTGCTCGGTTCGAAGAGAAGAAGGTCAACTGGAAGAAGAGGCTTACTGACGGTCGCATGAAGAACATCGCTTTCGTACTAGGTGAGTTGTTATCTATCCATCGCACGAATTGACAATTGACATACGCAGATCCCGATGGTTACTGGATCGAGGTAGTACAGAACGAGAAGCTCAAGACACGTAGCAATTGGTAAACGGGCGGCGCCGACTACCCGCGTGATGTGCATATCCCACTCTACAGCAATTCAGCCTCCAATCGTTGAAGATCACACCATATGTGGCTACCCACGCTGCGCATCATATGCACAGTATAGTACCATGACGGGCGCGAGCGCTCGCGGTACTACAACAACAACTGAATAATGAAACACGTTCTACATTACATCGATTTTCTTTCAACGGATTCTCTCATGAAGGTTTTTAACATAGTCTCTGCAAGGTTCCGAGGGCGTTGAACGATACCTAGGTACTTCGCCAAATTGACCCTGCAGCAGCGGCGCTCACCCCGTGGGGTAGAAGGAGTGCGGGGTAAACCTAGCCAACAGGTAAGGCTACCACAAAGTCATCCCTCTGACGCATGCTACTGCAGTAGACCGATAGCGGCGCAGTCTTACTCTGGGTGTACAAAATGGAGTGTACTCCTCCTGTAGGCTTTGCGCTTACATCTCATACAGTCTCACGTAAACTTACAGTCAACGCCAGGACCGACACATATCCTTGATCAACTCACTGAGACTCTTTCATACCTAGTTACTTAAGTCTACCAAGTGTCGGCAAGCACAGCACATACCGATACCCGTCAACATGGCTATCCTCATGCACACAGCGAGACGGAAAATCCTGATACCAGAGAAGGTCTCGCCAGATGGACTGGCATTACTCAAAGACCAATTCGATGTAGATGAAAAGAAAGGACTGAGTCCAGAAGAGCTCAAGGAAATCATCGGCGGATATGACGCCCTCATCGTGCGGTCGGAGACGAAGGTGACAGCAGAGCTTCTGGGTGCCGCCAAGAACATGAAAGTCGTTGCTCGTGCCGGTGTTGGTGTTGACAATGTCGATGTTCAGTCGGCTACTTCACACGGTATCATTGTGGTGAATTCACCTTCTGGGAACATCAATGCTGCTGCGGAACACACTATCGCTCGTGGGTAGTCCAAACAAGGTCATTTTCTCATTAACTAACATGTGACAGTAATGATGGCTGTGGCTCGCAATATTGGAGATGCATCGCAAAGTATCAAAGCTGGGAAATGGGAGCGAAGTCGGCTGGTGGGTGTGGAGGCAAAAGGCAAGACTCTGGCCATTGTCGGCCTGGGCAAAGGTAAGCTTGTTGCTTGACCTTTATGAGAACTGGCTGACATTTATTAGTCGGTCTCACAGTTGCTCGTATTGCCAATGGTTTGGGGATGCGTCTAATAGCCTACGACCCCTATGCAAACCCAAATCTGGCAACAGCGGCGTCAGTAACCCTCCGCCCAAGTCTAGCTGAGATCCTGAAAGAGGCCGACTTCCTGACCCTACATACTCCCTTGATCGCCTCGACTAAAGGCATGATCGGTAAGGCGGAACTGGAGACCATGAAACCAACGGCCCGCATCCTCAACGTAGCACGCGGCGGCATGATCGACGAAGATGCTCTCGTCGAAGCTCTAGACGCTGGTGTCATCGCCGGGGCAGGTATCGACGTATTCACCTCCGAACCTCCCGAGCAAAACTCATCAGCATCCCGCCTAATCGCCCACCCAAAAGTCGTAGCAACGCCCCACCTCGGCGCCTCGACCAAAGAAGCCCAAGAAAACGTGTCCATCGACGTCTGCGAACAAGTCGTCTCAATCCTCAGCGGCGAACTTCCCCGCTCAGCCGTCAACGCCCCCATCGTCCTCCCCGACGAATACCGCACCCTCCAACCCTTCATCAGCCTCGTCGAGAAAATGGGCAGCCTGTACACCCAACACTACTCCTCTGCGAAAACCGGTTCTTTTCGCACAACCTTCGATCTCATCTACGAAGGCAAGCTCGCTACGATCAACACCACGAAACCCCTCTTCGCGGCGTTGGTTAAGGGACTTCTCACGCCCATCACCTCCAGCGACGGCTTGAACATCAATATCGTTAATGCGGAGTTGTTGGCGAAAGAACGCGGCATCCTCATAAACGAACAACGCTCCCGCGAAAACGTAGAAGACAAACCCTACTCCTCCTTCATCACCCTGCGCGCCCGCGCCTCACGCTCCGTATCCCAACAACCACAGGCACATTCCCGCAACGCATCTCCCTCCGCCGCGCGCGCCCTCCAAAACACCACCACCAACTCATCCACCTCCTCCTCCTCCTCCGACCAAATCATCCAAGGCTTCGTCTCCGGCAACAAACCCTTCATCTCGCGCCTCGACAAATTCAAAGGCGAATTCGTGCCTCGCGGCACGCTGCTCATCTGTCGCAATTTTGACAGTGTGGGTAAGATTGGGTATGTGGGGAATTTGCTGGGGAAGGCGGGGGTGAATATTGAGTTTATGAATGTTGCGCCGTTGGATGGGGAGGTGGAGGAACGGTTGGCTGAGGGGAATGGAGGGGGAAATGGAGGGGGTGGGAATGGGCTGGAAGGAAGAGGGGAGGGGAGTAATGAGGCGTTGATGATTTTGGGGGTTGATAAGATGGTTGGGGAGGATGTGCTCAAGGCATTGATTGGGGAGGAGGGGGTGCTGGAGGCTAGTGTTGTGAACTTTTGAGGGGACGGGGATGGGTTTGACGGGGGATGTGGGTGGCTTCAACATGCTGCTTCTTCTTTATTATTTGATTCCAGTTGATCCTTTCGATATGCGCTTTGTTCAGATTCAAAAGATACAACCACCGCCTTCCACCACCCTTCTTGCACATCGTCCTTACATCTCCCCCTTCTCCCCCTTCTCCTTCCCCTCCCGCTGCAACTCCTTCATATGCTCCTCATGATCACCAACCTGCTGCCTATCCGCCGCAATGTTGCTCTCGCCATGACTAGCAAGATCCTCACGCCATCTGCCCTCGCCCTTTTCCTGCTCCTTGAGCTGTTCCTGCTTTGCGGCTTCGACTTGTTCGGG